ACCCCATGCGGGCTTGGGTCTTCAGCCCAAACTCCTTCCACCCATCAGAGACCAGGGGAGCTTTGCCCCAGGAGCCCTTCTTTGGGGGCAGACCCATAGGGGTGATGCATCAGGCTGCAGTCTGCAGGACCGGCAGTTCAAAGCCACCGTCTGCTCCGTGGGACAAAGATTGGGCTTTCTACTCACTGTGAGGCATTACCGTCTGGGAGGCTCCCAGGGGCAGTTCTACTCTGTCATACAGGGTCCCTGTGAATCGTCATCCACTCAAGGACAGGGTGTGCCCCCTCCTATGCCCCCTCCCGCATCCAGATCTTAAATCCAGGGGTATGAAAGTAAGCCCCTTCTGTGAAGGGAAGGCTCACCTCTGACAGCCACCCACCCGTCTGTCTGTCTGAGAAGCACAGGCTTGGGGAGAATGAGCTCTCTGTGTTGGTCGCTGCCGAGCCCATGGAGGCGACCCTGTGGGCAGAGCAGAACCGGGCTGCGCGGGGTTCTCAAGGCTGGGACTTTGGGATTGCCAGGTCTGTCTTCCGCGGCACTCTGGGAACTTCTAACTGTTCGTGTCCCCCCGGGACTCCCTCCCCCCTCGGTCTGGATGGAGACGGCGAAGGGAGGCCACACAGTGCCAGGTTCAAATGCCAGTCTTACCACTGGCTTGAAGTGACTGAAGACAAGCTGTTCGGGTCCCCAGACTCCCTGTTTTCTCCTGGAGGCGAGTCACGACATCATCTTCCTCACGTTGCGTGAGGCTTCCGCTGTGCCTGCGAGTGAGCGCTTCACGCCCGGTCGGAGGATCCATGGGTGGCGGGTGCCTGCCGTGTCTGCCAGCATTCGTGCAGGACACCCTTGAGCCCCCCCGGGGAACTTTCTCTGGGGTTCTCTCCCCTCCACCGGTCCATGGTGGGCTGCTGGCAAGGACTATGGGGACAGCTGTGATGTGTGAGGTTCCTGCTGACCCTCAACTTCAGAGGAGCTCATTGGCCAAGGGCCCAGCTGACCTTCCAGGGCAAGGTCAGAGCATCAAGGCCACAGCCAGCCGGAGGGGAGGGAACCCTATGCTCAAGGGGTCCTGGGCACCAGCGCACCTGGCCCTCGGCCTGCTGACC